CCTGGGCACACTCTGGCTCATGTTCAGCTTCCTGTCCATCCCCACTCCCAGCTCCCTCTGCCTGGTTGCTCTCCAGCCACTCTGTCCCAGCCTGTAGCACTGTGGGGGGTTGTTGTGGCCAAAGTGCAGGACCCAGCACCTGGCCTGGTTGAACCTCATCCCATTGGAATCAGCCCATGGATCCAGCCTGTCCAGGTCCCTCTGCAGAGCCCTCCTGCCTTCCAGCAGATTAACACTCCCCCCCAGCTTGGTGTCATCTGCAAGTCACTGGAAATGAAAAGCAGGCCCAGTGACTACAGACAAATGCTCAGGGGCCTGGTGGTCACCAGTTCCACCCTCCTGGGACAGGCTGGTCACAGCACCCAGGGAATGCTCTGCTCTGCCACAAGGGCCTTGTTTAGGGAGCCACAGCTCCATCCCAGGGCTCTCAGTGCACACCAGGGTAACAGCACAAAGACAGTTAAATGCACCAGACAGTCAGTCAACGAGCAACAAATCCTTGTTTCATGTTACAGGTTTGAACATATGAGAGTGATGAGGCACAAAGCTGTGCCAGGGAGGGTCAGGTTGGATCTCAGGGAAAGGTTCTTCCCCCAGAGGGTGGTTGGCACTGCCCAGGCTCCCCAGGGCAGTGGGCACAGCCCCAAGGCTGCCAGAGCTCCAGGAGGGTTTGGATGATCCTCTGGGCACAGGGGGGATTGTTGGGGTGTCTGTGCAGGGCCAGGGGTTGGACTGGATTGTCCTTGAGGGTTCCTTCCAGCTCAGGATATTCTGTAATTCCATGATTCTCGTGTTCCTGCTGCAGTGCAAAGCCACTGTCTGTTAATGTTTGTGTTCAGGCCAGAGCCTCAACCGCTTTCAAATGGAAACAAATTTAACTTGGGAGAAGTAGAGAATATGAAATAAACAATCAGGAGGAATAAATCATCAAGGTTTAAGTTGCTGCAGCTGCAGTCTCAGCCCTTTTTCTGCATCAAAGTATCCCAAGTTAAATGTTTGGGTTTGTTGTTTTGTTTTGTTTTTTAAATAAAGTGTTTATTCTGAAAATAGACTTCGGGGAAATAAAGGGAAGAGCAAAAAAAACACACAAACAAAAAGCTGTTGGCAGATGTGGTCAAACACATAATTAAAGCCAGACATGTCTCACACAACAAGAACTGTTAATGGCTCACACCCCTTTTCTCTACACTTTTACATATCCCAGTGTTTTCAGACACCACTTAATGACACGAAAAAAATAATTATGCTCAGGATCACTTGGAAGACATAAAAACAATGCTACTAAAACACCACACAAGGCTGTGGCTTCCTTCCAAAATAACACTTCTCAAGCAGACTGTTGCTACTGACAGCCCTGGAGATCTCCTGCTGATCCAGCAGGGAGATCTCCGACCAGGGACTCACAAAGGAGGAGTTGTGCAGATGGCAAACTGTATCCAGAATTAAAGCTGAGATTAAAGTTCACACACCCACATGCACAGAAGTGCCTGAGTAATGAAGTCTCTTTCCTGGTGAGCTCTGGAAGCCATGGTGTCCCAGGACAGGGCACTGCAGGGACTTTACTGACTCCTGAGGGAAAATTAAGCCCTGGATTTGTCTTCCCTGCCCTCACACCTCACCTGTCCGAACAGAAAACCTTCTGCTGGCAAAGCCCATATTGCAAGAGTAACTCCAGCCAGGGCTCTCACCTGGCAGTGAGGGGGCCTTACCTTTTCTAGCAGGTAATTATTGATGTGCCCACCTATTGGGTCTCCTTTAAAATCAAAGTTGATGTCCATGTACTTCCCAAACCGGCTGGAATTGTCGTTCCGGTTTGTCTTGGCGTTGCCAAAGGCCTCCAACACACAGTTGGATTTCAGCAGGATGTTCTTCACTCTGCAGGATGGAGGGATGGAAGAGGGAACAGGCTAAGTCCAGACCTGAGCCCTCAAAACCATGGAATCTGTTCCACGAGCATTTCTGGGGAGGAATTCAGCTCTTTGCTGACACAGCTGGGCAGATGTGGATGACATCAGCAATCCCATGGGAGAGCAGCTGGGAGCTGCCAGCAATGCTCCTTAGAGCAAGCAAAGGCTCTTTGGTTCAAAGACCAAATCCTGACTCAAAACAGCATCAAAAACTCTGCTCCTTTCCACATTTCAGTTTTGAAACCAATTTGTTGAGCTCTTTTGCAAAGTTTATTGGAGGTTGGTGTTAAATCTGTTTCAGCAGAAAGGCACATTCTTTGTTCTAATGCTTTTACTCCAGGACTAACAGGCACATTTTGCAAATCAGGAGCATGTGAGCCTGGAAGCTCATGGAATACACTCCTTGCACTCAACATGCTGTCCTAATGTACCCAGACTTCGGGCAATTTGCCCCAGGAAAAGTGATTTACAATCACTGGAAAAGACCTGTAAGATCATCAGATGGTTGGTATTGCTTGGAAGGTACCTCTAGATACTGTTTTTTTTAAAATTTTTCTGCACAATTTTAGCAATTAATATTGCAAAATTGCCAGAGTAAAAGCAGTATCTGAAGAAGTTGGGGAACTGCTGTAAAAATCAGCATATACAAGACACCCTCAGCCACAGAGCCCACTGAAAGAGATCCCCAAATTTCCCTCGTTTGCCAGGCAAGGCCTTACCTCTCCACCTCAGCCCTCTGCCCAGGGTTGGTGATGGCTGCAATGTACTGCATGATGTATTTACTGGCCTCGGTTTTCCCAGCTCCCCTTTCCCCTGGGGCAGAAACACCAGGGTTGACCAAGAGATGAAAAACAGCAAAGCAAATCACTGCACAGAACATCTCAATTCTACTCCACCAACGTCTGGGGGGGTTTGATTTGTTATTTTAAAACCATCTTTGTGTGCACTTGGGGCATTTTCCAGACCCTGTGGCTGCGCTGGCTCGGAGCAATTGTGATGTGAGACTTCCCAGGTCAGGAACGGGCCTGGCACACAGAGGATCAAAGGAATATTGTTAGAGGAGAAAGCCTGGCTGGGCAGGACAAGGGGCCACTGTTCAGCCCCCCAGCTCGGGGCTCTCGCCTTTCAGAGCTCGGGGACATCAAGGGAAGGAAGTGCCAGGATCCAGGCAGGGAACGAGCCCAAACCAGCTCAGGGGCACGGCCAGCAGGTCCTGAGCAGAGACAGGCCCTGCTCTGTGGATCCCTGCAGTGGGATAAGGCTCCTGCTCCCGTTATCCCTCTGCAGGCACTGCCCCAGCTCCTGCCTGGCTGGGAGAAGGCTGAAGGTCTGAAGGAGAGAAGAAATAATTGCGACGTCTCCACACACGGACTCGAACACAAATAAGCCTTAAAGACTACTGAAGTTTTTTCCTTTATAGCCAATCCCCGTCCTCCTCCCGCCTGGGGTTTCACAGGCTGTCCCCAGGCCGGCCCAGCTCACCTGAGATGACGATGCAGGTGTCCTTGGAGCGCCTCTTCATGGCCTTGTAGGCGGCGTCGGCGATGGCGAAGAGGTGGGGGGGCCTCTCGTAGAGCTCCCTGCCCTTGTACTGCTCGATGGTGTCCCGGCCGTAGATGTTCAGGTTCTTGTAGGGATTCATGGAAACCACCACCTCCCCAATGAAGGTGTAAATCCTGCCCTTCTCAAACCTGCCCGGGGGGAGACACAAAGGGGGGAAATGAGTCAAACGGAGAGGTTTGGAACACACCTGCCCAGAGCCCAGCAGTGAACTCTGATCCACGGGAACACCACAACTAAACCTGGGCTGTGGACATTCCCTGGATGGCACAGCAGGGACAGAGAGACCTGAGGGTGCAACAACTATCAGCTTTTAGTTTAGCACCTACAGAGGACATTTCCACTGCTGCTTCACTGACAGGTGCACAAGATACAATTTACGGTCTCCACAACTGACAATAAGTCAACACAAGTGTGAGGAGCAAATAAAATCTGCTCCATAAAGGGGATTTAAAGGTAAATTCTTTTTTTCACGTTCTGCAGTTGTCCATGACCCAGCTAAAGGCCAGAGAAGCCCCTCACTGAGAGGTCTAATCACACTTGGAAGAAAATAAACAAAGACAGAAGCCCAGGAGGGAATTGGAGCCTTTCAGCTCCAGCAATGAGCTTCCACCCCATCCATCCTTTTTACTGGAAGGCACCGTGGTATCACCACTGCTGCTAAACCAGAGGGCAAAGATTCCTAAGAATGTGTAAAAACAATCCTAAACTGCACCCTTCCTAAACCCTACCTGGCCCTTGGATTCTTTCTGCAAACAAGACAGAAAAGAACTGGAAGCTTGTTTATAAAAAGTGTTTAAGTTAAAAGCTATTTCCAAGGAAATCCACATTTTATTGGAAGTTACCCGTCAGGAGAGCTCAGAGGAATTCCAGGTCAACAGCAGAAGAAATTTATACAGTCTTTGCTTCTCAGGAGGAGAAAGGATGGCAGGAGATGTCGGGATCAACACCCAAACCACGGCATTTGCACCACAAATACCTGTCTGCAGCTGCACTTAAACCTCACAACGTTAGATGGCACCAGAACCCCTCCAACAGAGCCCAGGGCCTCCAATCCCTCCTGGACTCCGGCACAAATTCCAGCATTACTTTATTGAATTTATGACCACCCCCACGTGGTGACAGCCCTGACATTTTCTATTGTTCATTTGAGAATTTTCTGCAGCATCTTGGCAGTCTCAGTTTTTAGCAGGTGTAATAAAACTCAAGAAATATCATCCAGCAACCAGCATTTCACTGTCTGGGAGTGCTTGTGCCTCCAATTCCAGCTTCCTCCCAAAATACTGCACTAAAAAGACTCAAGAATTGCAAAATGTCTTCTTCCTGCAATCAGTTTTAACTAAAAGTGTCTCAATATACATTTCCCAAAACTTAAAATGCAAAGATATTTTTGAGATATACGCCGTTTGAAAGCTACCACAAATGTTTTAGAAAAGATAATCTTAAAATAATTACCAGTATCAGTACACCTGATTTTAACTCTGAGAAGCACAAAGCAGGTGGGAATTGTGGTATTTGGAAGATCCCAAAGAGGCAGAAGGTGCAAAAGGATCAGATACCAGGCTCCTGCCCTCTCAGGAGCTCTTGAGGGACTCTGCATATACATAGGAGAGCTTGAAAAACCAAACCCACACAATACTCTTGCTATTAAGGAGATCAAGTCACACATAAATATATAATGGAAACCACTACAGGGACACCACAGTCAGCAGAATCATCCCATCTTTTGGAGTTGGACACCCAAAGAAGGTGAATTATTCACTGGAGAACACACAGAGTGCTCCCCAGAAGGCCCTGCCCAGCAGCACATACCTGCTGCTCAAGGCACTGTTGATGATAAAAATAAAGATACAGCAGTTTGTGGGTGAGTTTTTAAGCCCCACGGCACTGCCACAGACACGGGGGAGAGTTCATGGCCCCAGAGAGGGTAAAGGGAGGGTTGTTCCAGCTGCTGACAAGAAATAAAGGAATAAAGGCCCATTGTGCCAAGTCACCATCACAGCACCCAATACTCTGACCTCTTCCTTAAGTAATGAATTATGTAAACTTGCACTGGCAGAGCCCAGTTTAAGTTTCCTCTTGTGGCAGTTTGGTGTCCTTGCCTGAATCCCAGAACCATGGAACACCCTGAGCTGGAAGGGACCCACAAGGACCATCACAAAGTCAAGCTCTAAAAGGTTTTACTGGGCTCTGACAAGTTGTGTCTTCACCTCTGTGGCAAAAGGCAGATGGAGGCGAGGGAGGAGAAGGATCCATCTCCAGGCCTGACAAACAGACCTGTGTCCAGCTTGGCTCTAAGGACCCAGACTTTAAGAACAACTGACACCCCCATTTTTACCTCTTGCTTCATTTTTCTTTACACTTCTTAGCACTGGAGTTCAGATTCCAGAGCTGGGCTCAGATGTTCCCAACGGGAGCTGCGGCTCCTCGCCCCTCCTGGCTGATAAAGCCCCTTTTCATCCCTCAGAGCAGCCCAGGCCAAGAACAGCAGGAACTGTTTTCCTGCTGGGAGAGCCTGGCCCAGGGAGAACTCGTGGAAACTTAAGGAAATAACCCACCAGGGCAGAGGAAACGGGGAGCAGGAGCTGTGTTACAGCCACTGCTCTGCAGGGCAAGGGCACAAAACAGGACAACAAAGCTCTTGGTGCTTTTTGGAAAGGCTCATCCCCCATCTGGGGAAACTCATCCACACCACGGCCAGTGCAGCCATTCCAGGGCTGAGGTTTAGAGGCAGAACTGGACTGTTTTTTATTAAAAGGAACAGCAGCAAGTCTGCTAAAGGGAACCCCAATATCCACTCCTGGGGCAACACCCCCACGGTCAAACCTTGGTTTGTGTCTCTCATGGAAATCACGTCAGCTTGTGCTACAACAAAACATTTATTTCCCTGTAAGAATTCCATTGGAACCACTCCTGTATCAACGTCATGGAATCACAGAATATCCCCAGAGGGAAGGGACCTCCAAGGATCACCAAATCCAACCCCTGGCCCTGCACAGACACCCCAACAATCCCACCCTGTCCCTCAGAGCGTTGTCCAAACCCTCCTGGAGCTCTGGCAGCCTTGGGGCCGTGCCCACTGCCCTGGGGAGCCTGGGCAGTGCCAACCACCCTCTGGGGGAAGGACCTTGCCCTGAGATCCAACCTGACCCTCCCTGGCACAGCTCCAGCCCTTCCCTGGGTGCTGTCCCTGCTCACACAGAGCAGAGATGGAGCTGCCCCTCGGGAGGAAGCTGCAGACCCCAGTAAGTGTCCCCTCAGTCTCCTCTCTCCATTAGCTCAGCAGCCAAAAAGAAATTCAGAGTATTTAATCCCTGTGAGTTATTCTGAGGAACATCAGCTCTTCCATGAGAAGTTTTTATACTAGTTTTTATTACCTCATTAAAACATCAATTGATAATGAGAAAATAAAAAGCAGTGAGTCACAGACTATAAATCACTGAAAGGGAGAGACATTATTCTCTAGGAAAGACCACTAAGGCAAGAAAAAGGCTCTTTGTTTTGTAGTCTTTATGTTTAAGGAAGGGAGTTAAGTCCAGACACCCTGTGCTCACATCCAGTTCCCCCTGGAAAATCCACTGCAGGAATGGGAGCCCTGGAGCAGAAATCCTCACCAGCAGAGAGCACTCAACATTTAGGATTTCCTCCACCTGACAAACACTCCAGTCAAAAATAAAACCGCTCTTACCGAGGAAATGATGCAACTTCAAATGCACTCAGTACAAATAAAGAAAAGAGTTAGCTGGCAGGGCTGGGAACCCACACTCCCAAACAACATCTGCAGGACAGGGACCCTGCAGGACAGGGACCACAGCCATCCCCTGAGCACACACTTCCAGCTGATCCTTGAGCAGCAGCAGCTTGAAGTAAAGGAAACGTTAACAAAAAAAGAAAGGGAAAAGCAAATAACTCAGGACAAATCAGGAGTGCTGCAGAGGCACTGGGCCACAACTAACCTGGTCCCACTGAAGGTGAAGAGAATAAAAATATGGTTTGAAATATTCTGTATTTCCAGCCTTATCTGTGAACCCCAGGGCACAAACTGAAATACTGAATATGAACTATTGAGTATGAGCACACAGATTTTTCCTCCTTCCTCCCTGTGCATGGCAAGAAGAAAAATCCAGCAGCTCCACACCCCTGGCACGCAGAGGAGGGACAATTCCTTTCCCTGTTGGAAACACCCCATGTGATTTGGGTTACTCTCCCAAAGGGGGCAACAAGTCTCAGTTAGTTTTTACCACCAAATGTATACATTAAACTCCAATCCTGCAGGCTTTGAGTCCATTCTCTTTGCAAACCCACACGAAGATATTTAACTAAGCCTCAGGTTCATGAACGGTCAAGGATGGGCCTTTAGGATGTGCTCACCAAGAAGGGAATTTAAGCAGAACTTCTGGCAGTGAAACCATATTTACCTGGGTTTAAAGTCGAGAATGTGTACCCTGCACTCACACAGGGCAACAACCATTCCCCTCGTGCTTTGGGAAGCAAGTGACTGCTAAAAGCCACTTACCCTGTGTGCCTCAGGCACTTGTGCCTTTTCTAGGTGACACTGGGTCTCTCTGCTGCGAGTCCAGTGCTACTTAAAGACTTTATTTTAGGTAAATCTCAAAATAAACTCAGCTGCCAAGCAGGACTTCAAGGCTTTCAGTAAATCGCTCCCAAAGTGTCTCACAGCGAACCAGCCCCTCACAAGAGCGCTCGGATAAACAGGATTTGCGTTGGCAGAACTATTGCTAAAACACTCTTGCTGCTCTTGGAAAAACAGCCCAAAAACTGTCCAGTCAGTACAACCCCCCTGCACAGGGAAGCGATCCAAGGCTGTCCCGATGGTGAATATGCACGGCTGCAGCATCAGAAGATTCGTGTCTGCGGGGTTCTGACCCAGCCCGAGGGCCAGAAGAGCTGAAATGCAGCTCCTTGAAGGTGCAGGTGAGGTTTTTGCTTGCAGTTGGCCTGCAGGGGCTCGGCTCTCTCGGCTGCCAGTTTAACAAAATAGGAAATGCCATTGGGAGCACCACTCCTTTCCTGTGCTGTGGGAGCAGACGGGGCAGGGGGAGGAATCCTCCAGTCACCCACAGCCCTCAGCCAGCCTGGGGAAGGAGGTTAAAGGAGTTCTTTGTAATGATGTCATTTTTTTTTCTAAAGAAAATCAGCAAACTCTGAGTGACCACTGCCACATCTTCCTCAGCAAACCGAGGGTTCAGCAAACTGTAATTTTGACCAGGCTGGTTCAGCTCCAAACCAGCCTTGAGTCAGCCCCTCAAACCCACTAGGTGAGGCTGGGGGAAGGAAAACGGGAGATGGATAAAGGCTAAAACTGTGAGATATAGAAACAGGGGTAATATTAAAACCCCTCTCCTTAAATATAAAGTATTAACCTTGCACTGAAAAAATGCCAAACCACTAAACACGGGAGTCACTGAACTTTCATTTCTATTTGCGTCAGAGGGCCCGGGCTCTGCTGCAGAGGAAGCTCTGCAGGCTC